AAATGAGTCTGGAAAAAAATTTTTTGATTGGTGTATTGCTTGTGCCCAGTTGGTTCTATAATGTTTACTTGCTACTAAAAGTTGCATTTGGCATAGTTTTAGAGTTTTAGACTAGTCTGAGTTTATTTTGTGCTCAGATGCAAAATATTATAAATATCCTTCTGTAAGTTCATTCTCTGGTTTTAATATGACTTAAAGCAAGTAGGGGAGTGACATTTACATTATAACCAAGGCCCATAGTTGCAAGAGCACCTGGCTCTGGGAGTCCCAAAAGGACTACTGACAGTATCTAAGCAGAGCTACCGATGGTGGTAGAACAAGAACGAAATATATTTCAGTGAGGCCAACACCTGAAAGACAGCCAACTAACGTCTCAAAGAGTGTCTTTAATGTGCTAAAAGTAGTTCTCTGTTTATATAAGGAAAATGTGGGACAAAGATCAGTGGGTCCATGCAGGTGGGCAGTAATGGTCAGGTTGATCATTGTCTTGGGGTCAATTATGTGAGGTCTTGCTGACCAAGGGTAGTTGGTCCATCACAGGATGCTTTGCCATAGGGTTCTCTGCCTGAGTTAAAAGATAAACTGGAAAGAAGAACTTAACTAGTTAGAAAGTGCAGATTAGGGTCAAATGGAGATAAAGTCCTCTTTCAGCATGTGAAAATTGGCTCCTTTTTGGTGCAGTAAGGCTTGGTGATTTATATTTAAATGCTTGTATGCATGTATGTATGTGTATACTGGAGTTAGACTGCCTGGGTTCAAATTCCACCTTCTTTTCTAACTAGCTGAGTGGCCTTGGTCAAGTTATTTAGCTTGGTTGTATCTCAGTTTTCTTTTTTGCGAATAACAGAGCCTGTGGAAGGAGGTATTCTTGTAAGCTAATATGTGTATGGTACTTGACACATATTATTTATTTAATAAATATTAATTACTATGATGGTGTTGATATACTTAAAGGTTTCCTAATTCCTGGTTTCTTCCTCCCTTTCAAAAAAAAAAAAAAAAAAAAAAGAACAAAACACCACTTAAGCAATTGAGTGAATATTTATTTTGAATTTGATGGTCCAGTATTCTAAAAGGTTTATTTAACTGGTTTTGGTCTTTGTTTCTGCTTATCTCTTCCACATATATCTTCCTGATTATTCATCAGTAAATGCTAGTTTCATCATATTGTATTTTTTTCCTTAAATATTTCTTTTCTCCCTGTTGTTTACTTAAAGGATCATGTCTAAATTCAAAGATTTGCGTTCAAAGACTTTACTCTCAGCCTGTTTTAGCCTTGTCTTCTGCAGCTCTTATTCAGGAGTTACGATGGTGTATTACTCTCAGTAATAACAATATTAGGAAGAACCACATATGCAAGAAGCCATAATCATTAGAACAAAATAGAAAAGAATATGAATATTTACATCTGTGACATGCTGTGATCTAATATATCCAAAGTTATTTTCTTACATTATGTATGTCCAAAATAAGGTGTCTTTATTTCTTGTTAAAGTAGTGAATATACTAGTTAAATAATGATAATGGATGGGTACCATTTGGGGAGTACACTCTTAATAGGTTTAATTCTCACCACATCTCTGCAAGCTAGACTTGATTAGCACCTGCATTTTATAGACAAAGTGGAGAAGTGTAATAATTCTCCTCTGGTCACAGCAAGTACTAGTGGAGCTGGCATATGAACTGACTTGAAAGAAGATGTCTTAATTTTCACTGTGCCTCAGATGTTCCTTGCCATATCAACAACAATAAAACAAAGACGGATACCTACCCAGGCTGCTTCTCAGGCAATTTGGGTTTAGTAAATTTGCAGTTGAGCTGGAATTCTGATACACTGCCAGGATTGAGAACTACTTGCTCTAGAATTTGTATTCTTTCAGGTACTATCTTTTGATTATATGTAAGTACCTTCCATTGCTTAAAATTTAATTTTAAACTTTTTGTTACTACAAAGTAATGATTTATGATTTTGTTCTCCCCAATCCATAGAGCTTTTGTAATATTAAGGATCCTTCAGAGCTGGCTACAGCATAGTACTACCTTATCCAAAGGAAAATGGAGAGAAATCAGTAGTAACCTTGAGAAGAATCACTTCCCTGAGCCTCCAAATTACCATTTTTTAAAAAGATTTTACTTATTTATTCATGAGACAGAGAGGCAGGAGACATAGGCAGAGAGAAAAGCAGGCTCCGTGCAGGGAGCCTGATGTGGAACTTGATCCCGAGACTCAAGGATCATGCCATGGACTGAAGGTAGACGCTCAACCACTGAGCCACCCAGGTGTCCCCAGAATTATCATTTGTAAAATATAGATAACAACCACCTTTCAGAGTTACTGTGAGGATTAAGTACAATTGTGTATATAAGACATGGAGACTGAAGCTTAGTAAATAGTTGGTAATTCTTTATTAAGAAAGTAAATTTATCATCTTAGCTATAAGTAAAGTGACTATATTAATATTGTCATCAAAAAGTATCGTTTTGTCTGGAATAGTTCCATGTGTAGATAATAATAAACCTTTCTTCCAGACTTCAGACTTCCTGACTTAAACTTTCCAGTCTCTATGAGTAAAATATTGATTGATACCCACAGCGCAATGAAGTTTTCAGACCAGTAGGCCCAAATTAGTAGATCTATTTGCTTATATTTTACTTAACCAATAATCAGTTTTGTGTATTTCCACATCTATTGGTGCCTGTCATATTTGTTATTACAATCTAGTAATTAGTTCACTTTCAGAATATATAAACTGATGAAATGGGAATGCAAAATAGAGGGTTTTTAAAAATATATATAAAAATGCAGGATGAATACTTTGAGAAGACTTCATGAAGTCAGTCACTTAAAATTTTTCTGATGCTGTGTGGATAACAGTAAATTATCAGAAAAGAAGTAGGATTGTATGTGAATGCTGCATTTAGAATGCATTGCCAGTATCTTTAAGGATCTGTTTAAAAAATTTAACTACAAATCTTACAGTTATGAATACATTTTATTTATTTGTTTATTTTTAAAGATTGTTTTTGAGAGCATGCGAGTGCATGTGAGCATGCACATGGGGGGAGGGGCAGAAGGAGGGAATCCTCAAGCCAACTCCCCACTGAGTGCCACTACTGTGGGCCTGGAATCTATGAGTCATGAGATCAGGACCTGAGCCAAAAACCAAGAGTCAGATAAATGCTCAACTGACTGAGCCACCCTAACTTACAATGGCTGTGCTGTAAGAAAAACAATTGAATCTAGTTAATAGATCCATACTTCAAAAAGTCTTTGGATAATATGACATTAGCAAAATTATGTATGGTTTTTGAAATAAATAACACATAAGGTAAGTAGAGTTTTTATGATTCTTCATAATAGCTCACTTTTTTTTTTTACTAACTTAATTTTACTGATCTGGTTAGATGAGAAGTTTTACTCTATGTAAAATGAGGATTATAGAATATGCTAATTGGTCCCAGAAGAATAATTTCGCTGGAAAGATTAGAATTAGACTCCATTTATTAGCTAAAAGGGCATCCTTTCAAAAGAAATGGATGAATATAGATGTAGGTATCTTGGCCAGCCACATGTGATTTGGCACTACCAAGTGCCAATGGTAACAATTTGAAATGTAGATTCCTGTAGGTGCATTTGGGCAATTGGTATAGTAAAACTAGTACTAATACTGATGATGGTGATGATGATAAAAGTTTGAGATGCTTAAAGCGTAGGGTACTATAGGCAAAACATGCACGTTTATTTATGAAATAATAGAAGTTCATTGCTGGCAGTAAAATGAAAAAAATTGTGGAAAATAAATATCACCTAGAAAAACTTTTAGAAATCAGAAGGAAAAAGTGCACAGAAAGTAGGAATTTAACCTGTAGTATGCTTATTTTTACTTAAAAGCCTTTGGACATTAAAAGAATATAGAAATAGTCTATACACCTGAATATGAACTTACATAAAGAGAGCTGTAATTTCATTAAATCCCATCACATTTTAGTTTTAGATTTAGCCTTTTATTTTTAATTAATATTTATTGTGAACCAGTAAAAAGTAGATTAGTATAGTGGCATGTTAAAATAGCTAACTAATTTCTCATTTCAAGTTTATGAAGATAAAAGCATGTAACGATGCTTGGCACGTAATAAGTTGTAAAGTGTTTGGATTTTTGTTTGTTTTCTTTATTTAGCATACCTTATTAAGAGTATAGACTCTGGAGCCAGAGTGCTTATTCAGATCTCATCTCTGCTTCTTTTTAGTTGTGTAACTTAACAAGTTACTGATTTCTCTGTGCTTCAGTTTCCTTATCTGTTTATGAGGAGGGGGAAATTATATATTCTTCATAGATTATGGGAATTAAATGAGTTAGTATATACATATAACATGTTTAATATATGCCTAACAGAGAATATTGTGTTTACTGTTATCATATGCAAATTAATACAAATTTGCATATTTTGAATTCAAGTCTGTCATAAAAGATTGATTCATTGGTAATATAACATCATCATGCTACAATAATAAACATAGTAATATGGTTCATTATATTAACTTACACTATTAAAAATAATACTATACGAATGAAAAATGCCGTAAAAAGACTGGTTCCAAAAGCATTTTTCCAAAATGACATGTCTCTGCTTTTCAGATTTGTTTGCTGCTTTGGGAAAAATTGGATGCTCTGCAGATCAACTACTTTTAAAAAACGGTGCAGAGTAAAGTGTATTAAATATATTTTACATTCTGTATATTCCTATTTTTGATAGTTCTTTTATTTTCTAGAAGGAATAGTTATTTCTTTTAGACCTGTCATCTCTGAGACTTCTGATTATCAGCAGAAACTAGCTGATCAGATTGATGCTTAATAAATGTAGCTCTGAATCTTAGTCTCAGTAAATAGCAGGTAGTGAATATCAGGTCATTGGAATAATTTATTAGTCTATTATATAACTTAAGAATTGCTATAAAAAGCCCACAAATACTGTAGACTCCTTAATGAAATTAATGACAGCTTTGGTCGTCCAGGAGTAGAATGTTACTGCCAACATGACAGTGGAGCCGCAGTCATCCAGCTTCAGTTCCTGATCAATGAGGTCAGTGAATTGCTTTAATCTGTCCTACTTATATTTGAAATAGGGCCACATCTGGTCTTTCAGATTTCTTGCATGTGTTCATACTTACATATTTGAACAAAAGTATATTTCTTATAGGTCACAGCTAATAGCAATTCATTTTAAGCCATCATCATGGCTTAAATAATGCAAGATGCTTCTCAAAACAGTGTTGCAAATAAAATAGTATAAGTAGATCTTTTGGTACAGGGTGCTGCATTTAAATTTTATTTCTTGGATACTGAAAGTTATGTAACACTAAAATTATTAAATTTTTTTAAAGATTGAGTTTATTATAAATAACAAAATATACTTCTCTAATGACTTGTTTGCAATACAACCAGGAAACAAAAATCCATTAGAAAAGAAAACTGGTTATTGTTCAAAATTGTTGTGTCACTTGAAGTAATTGATGATGCCTTTTTTTTTTTTTTTTTTTTTTGGTAGAGTATAAAGTTAGGAAGAAGCTCAGGAAACTAATATTTTTTTTGTCAGAGTAGATAACATGCTTGCAGGTTTTTAGAAAGTATGAGCAATTGCAGTGACTTGCAGCTAGAGAGTATAATGCTAATTAAGCGAAATAAGTCCGAGAAAGATAAATTCCATACAATTTCACTCTTGTGGTATTTAAGAAACCAAAAGGGGGAAAAAAAAGAGGTGAACCAAGAAACAGAGTCTTAACTATACAGAACAGTCTGATGGCTACCAGAGGGAGATGGGGCGGGTGGGTGGAATAGGTGATGGGGATTAAAGAGGGCACTTGTGATGAGCACTGGGTGATGATGTATGGAATTGTTGAATCACATATTGTACACCTAAAATTAATATAATGCTGTATGTTAACTAATTGGAATTTCTAAAAAAATTAAAAGGTAAAAAATAAGCAGCTCTAAGAATAGATGTTTACTGTATGGAGTGACAAACAGAAAAAGCTGGTCGTTAGAAGAAATTACTGCAGAAAAGGCTCTGCTATCTTTATTGGGATGATAGTCTGTGGACATTTTTTTTGCCCTCAGGTCCTTAGGTTCCATGGAATAAATTCTTAAATGTGTGTGAGAGGAAAAAAAAAAAAACACTTGATACCTTTGACCTTTTGTAAAATGTTTTTATCAGAAGATTAATATGCAATTATGTAGGGGTTTTTGAGTCAGAAGTGTTTTTTTAAACACTGTTTAGTATTCTGTTTAGAACTGTATAATATGCATTGTAAAATGTTAAAATTTGAAGGAAATCACAATATAGAAAGTTGTTGAACCCATTTATGAGGAGTCAAGATTATTTTTCATATTTTTAAAAAAATTTTGATATGAAATAATTCTGGCAGTTTCAAAACAGAAGGGGTCTGTATGTACTTCCCCTAGCTTCCCCTGATAGTAACATTGTGTGTAACAGTAGTATAATATCAAACCAGGAAAGTGAATCCATATTCTACTATTAGCTAGACTACAGACCTTATCTAAATTTCACCACCGTGTACTCCTGTGTCAGTATGGGTGTGTAGTTTTGTGCAATTTTATGATGCATAATAGATTTGTGTAATGATCACCATGAACAAGATACAGATCAGTTTCATCATCATAAAGGAATTTCCTAAGGCTCCCCCTTTACAACTGGGCCCCCTCCTGCTCTCAGTTCCTAATCCCTGGAGACCACTAACCTCTTATCCATTTTGATACATGTGTTAAGAGTATATCTTAAAGAAGTACATGAACCAATGTAAATAACATACTGCAAACTGATTAAACACCTAAATTTTAGAAATCCTAAGTAATTTATGTTGTCATTCATGCAGGATTCTTTTGGATAGGATTCATCTTAGAGTTCTTGGATATGACTTTTTATTTTATATGCTTAGATGTTACATTTTGAGTACTTAAAAATGATGTTACTGTTTTAAAAAAATGCTTAGCAAAATATGAATAATTGAGGATTGCTACAGAAATCTGACAATTGAGAGTAGCTGTTTGCTTTTATATTTAGTAGATCGTATGTAGGTAAAGGGACCACTAAGGGAGGTGGTCAGCTGTTACTGCCATTTCGGCTCTATATCTCTATGGTGAAAATAAGAATGAAGAGTACAAATCTCTGATACTAAGAATCTTTGAGTTTCTCTGCTTCAAAGTGGTATAGATAAAGGATGCTTTCTAAGTGAAAGCATATGGACTTTATTTCTGCTCTCCTATAACCATATTGTAGCAGTAGGAATTACACCATAGAGTGGTCTTCATAGAATTTCAAAGGTGGAAAGGACTTGGGGAGATCATTTAATGTAAATTTGCAGAGCTATTTTAATCCTCTTTGATAAATGAGAAACTCTTAGTTTAAAGGAAGGAGATTTTAAGATTTCTCGTAATAACCTGATGAGTGGAATCCTGTTTTGAAATTAACATAAATTTTTCATGTTGCATTTTTATCTTACTGTCAATATAGATGAAAAGTATCTGACTCTTTGGAGGAAAAACAAGCACATGTCTTAATAAATCAACCTTAGTGTAGAGATTCTTAATTCTGTTCACATATCAGAATCACTTCTGGAGATTTTTAAAGATAAACCTGTATAAGTTCTTGCTCTGAAAGTTCTGATTTGTGAGGTCGAGGGTGAGACTTAGCCTCCTCTGTGATTCTCATATGGGGCCAGAGATTTTCTTCTCCATACTTAATATTATTTAATACTATCAGATATTTTAACATTCTAAATTAGTTGATTGTTCGATCTTTTGGTTATTGAGCTTATAGTTGCTGAGTGCTATCTTTATTTTCTGTATCATTCTAGTAGTAGAATTATGATCTAGGCATAGTGCATTCTAAAGAATTTTTCTTAAAATGGGAATGTTGCTTCATATTATATTTTTCTTCTAGTCAAGATGATATGTAGTAGTGGTCAAGTAACTCTAATATTAATATTACTTCTGATTATAGCTATCAACCGTAATATCCATCTAGATCCTACTGTACTTATAGTTTATAAGATACTAAATTATACTTTAAATTGTTGAAGAAGTTAAAACATTTTGTACAAATACATATAACAGTGTATTACATCTGCTACTTAGAATTTGGGTGAGACAAATGTTTCTGAAAATTAAATCTATTTACTGAAAGTTTTGAAACTTGGGAAGACTTTTTTTGACAGCTCTTTAGTAACTTTAATGTTTGTAAAATGTGTTCTCTATAAAAAATATTACATTTTATTTTTAAGGGAGCTCTTGTGAGTGCCTTGGCTGATGACACCTTACATTTATGGAATTTACGTCAAAAGAGACCTGCCATACTACATTCACTTAAATTTTGCAGAGAAAGGTAAGAATTCTCTGTTATCCTCAATGTAAGATATTTGCTATTCTATTTTGAAATATGTTCTTTGAATTTTTTTGAGATAGACTTTATGCACAATCTAAGAAATAATTCAAGAACTTCAAAGGATATACAATAGAAAGCAAGTTTCCTTTCTTTCCAGACTCATTTTCCTCTCTAGAGATAACCACAGAAATTTCTTCCATGTCCTTCTAGAAGTACTTTGTGCATATAGGCAAAAATCTTTTTAGATAGTGCTTTTTTTTTTTTTGCATAAAGGGGAAGGTATTATATATTCTTCCTATAATTTGTGTTCACTCAACAATATATCTGACAGATTGTTTCATACTGGCACATGCCAGTCTTCCATAGTTATTTTCATAATTGTGTGATGTTCTGTTACATGAAAGTACCATAATTTAGTCAGTCTTCATCAGTGGACATTTATATATTTTTTGGTCTGCTGTTCATTTTGCTCTGTTGTGATAGTATGATACATATATGTCTTCAACCATTTATAAAAGTATATCTCTAAGATAAATTTGTGGAACAGTTGGTCATAGCAATCTCTTATGACTTGTGAGTTTTGTACTTTGATTGGAAAGACCTTTTTTCTTTTCTTTTTTTTTTAATTCCAGTATAATTAACATTCAACGTTACATTAGTTTTAGGTATACAATATAGTGATTCAACAATTCTGTGCATAACTCAGTGCTCATCATGATAAATTTACTCTTAATCCTCTTTAACTGTTTTAACATTTCCCCATCCACTCCCCTTTGGTAACCAGGAGTTTGTTCTCTATAGTTAAGAATCTGGTCTTTTGTCTTTTTTTAATTTGTTAAATTTCACATAAAAGTGAAATCATATGGCATTTGTCATTCCCTGACTTATATTTCACTTAGCATTGTATACTCTAGATCCATCCATGTTGTTGCAAGTGACGAGATTTTATTCTTTTTCATGTTTGAGTAATAATATTCCATTGTATATTGGAAAGACCTTTTCACCCTAATTTTATTAAACATTCTCCCATATTTTTTATGACTCTTAAAGTTGGATTTTTTTAAGTTGCTTAGTCTTTATATACATGGAACTTTGTCATGAAATATGAGTAAAAAATACAAGTTCCCCCCCATTGCTTATGAGATCTATTTTTTATGTATATATAAAAATTTAGATATGTTTGCATATATGTGTTCATAAGCATGAGCAGATGTGAGTATATATGTATATATGCCAAAGTTAAGAAACCTGGGTCTCTGTAGTATCTAAATGCAATGGGGTTAGTGTCTTTAGGCCCTGTCTTCTGTGGAAGTCAGACATCAGACTGCTCAAAGCATATCCAAGGATCAGACCATTCTTGCTTTGATAAATGTTGATCTGTTGAGGTTATATAAATAGGTCAGTTTGTAAGTCTAGCTTTTTCCCCACAGCAGCCCTTCAAAGTAGACAAGCTAAAAACGCTGATGAGAATATAGCAGTTCAGACTTCTTTAGCCAATACCAAGACATGTTGACATTGAATGGTAGACAGAGACCAGAATTGGCAAGGGGTTAATAGCAAAGTTTTCTATTGGGCTAAATCTTGCCTGGAAGATAGGTCTTCTTAATAAGTTGGAATCATGGTTCTCCTTCTTTTAGGAGAAGGACAGCAGTGAAGGAGTTAATAGAAGGAGGAAGGGTTGACATAGGGGGAAAAAGGCAAGCAAAAAGTTAAGGTTCAATTCTTTTCTACCTGCTAGAAATAGGACCAGCCTCAATCTGTTTGGCAGAGTTCCTTAGTCTACTTGCCACCTGGATCAGGGGCAGCCCTACATCAGTTTCAGATGCCACCAAGCAGATGGAGATAGTGATGGGCCTCTCAGTTCCAGAACACATCTTGTGAGTCTCACACCACCTGCTGGAGATGAAAGTATAGGTCTAGCAGAGTTGTCGCCGTGGTGTGATTTTACCCTCCAGAGGGCATTTGACAATGTCTAGAGACATTTTCTGTCACAGTTAGAGGAGAGAGGAATGAACAGTGCTACTGGCTTCTAGTAGATAAAGGCCTGGGGATGCTGCCAAAAATGTTACAATGACAAGGCAGTCAGCTTCCCATAACAAAGAATTTATCTGGTCTAAAATATCAGTACAAAGTTAGAAAACTCTGGACTCCAGCACATCAAAATTATATCATTTGTTTCATGTAGTGCTGTAGAATTTCTCTTACTTTCTACCACCCACTGGAAGGATTCTGTCAGAATGTAGAATTCCAGCAGAAGAATACTTCTGATATCTCATGTGCCAGTGACCTGTCCGTATTTCTCATTAATAGCATGTGGTCCAAATTCACAAATATATACTATATGTTACTATGGTATATCTTCATGGTGAAAGGATCAGAGCTCAAGGAGTCCCAAAATTGTCAGGGTCCCATGATTGTCAGGTATGAGGTAAATCTCCTTGATAGTACTTCTAAGGATGGTCTCTAAGAAAATCTGGTAAAAGTGGGTAAGGAATGGTGAGTTAGTCTAAAAAGTGCCTGTAGGCATAATCTGATAAACAGAAGGCTCTTTTGTGTGCCGTGTGAGAACAGAGCCTTTCTTCCTGATAAATGCAGCCTTAGAGTCCACCAATCCCCTCCTTGGTTGGGTGCTATTATGCAGGGCCCATTCTGCACAGTTGTATGCAATGGTCCTAAAAGTTACAAATGCAATAAGCTGATAGAATTCATAGTTTTGAATTTTGTAATAGAGTTTACCCAGCTGACCAACAGAAACTAGCTAGTCCCTGTTTGAGGTTCAGCTTCCCCGTGGCCTTCATTAAGGTTAACAGTAAAGAAGGAACATGATTACTTGTCCCTTGAATATCTCTTAGGATGAAATCCTTTAAGGTAGCTACAAACTTGTATGGCAGCTATTGCATCTAAAATGCTAAGGAATGGGCTTGGTGTCTTATGGATGAACCTACTTATATTCTGTCAAGACTAAAGTTCAGGGATCCCTGGGTGACTCAGTGGTTAAGCGTCTGCCTTCGGCTCAGGGCAAGATCCTGGAGTCCCGGGATCGAGTCCCACATCGGGCTCCCTGCAAGGAGCCTGCTTCTCCCTCTGCCTATGTCTCTGCCTCTCTTTCTCTGTCTCTCTCAAGAATAAATAAATGAAATCTTAAAAAAAAAAAAAAAGACTAAAGTTCAGATTTCTTCAAGTGGCAGGAAGGAGAGAAGTAGCATTTGGGAGGAGCCTCATTTTCCTTAGCATGTGGCTGCAGAGCAGAGGCTTCCTCCAGGTGTAGGTGTGCTCATGGTGGCAAGACTTATTCTGCCCCGCAGCCTGAACTCTGTGTCATTCAGAACTGTAATGTGTACCCTGATGGAAACCTTCTGTTACGGCAGCTTTCCCTAGGCAGGAGAAGGGACACAATCCTAACCTATCCTATTCTATCTCCTCATTTATAGGAATCTATTCTTTAAATAACTGCTTTACATTCAGCTTTTATATCTGTCTCAGTCAGGATAGTTTGGGTTATGCTATAATCTTAATGACTAAATACAGCAACAGTTTATTTTTGCTTACATTATATGTCCTTTGTGGGTTTGCTGGAACTCTTTTCCTTTTCATTATCATTGTTCCAGAACCTGGCTAAGGAAACAGTCAGTCTTTACAGTATTGCCAGTCACTGTAGTAGGGAGAAAGAGAATATGATGAAGCATGTGTTGGCCCTTAAAGTTTCTGTCTGGATATGATACATATTTTTTACACTCATTTCATGGGCTATGGGAACAAGTCATGTGGCCATCTCTAATTTCACTCCTATAACCAAGAAGCAAAAAAACCTAGAAATCTTGTGAATATTTGTAATGACTATCACAGTGCTTATTGTTGACAAAATACAAAACCAGTAACCTAGTTTTCTCCTTATTTCACAGTGGACTTGAGCTAATATATTAGTTAAATTACTCCATTTCCATTTTTATGCTATTTGCATTTTTACTTCTGAAACTAGGAAAGATAGGAAAAATGAAAAATTTATAAATATCTATCTCATTACATTTTGAACAATTGTTAAGTAATGTAAACTTAAGTTTTATAATGTCTTATTTTTATAAGCAAATTTTCCTAGTATAGTATAAATTTATAAATAGAAATTGTATGTTGTAAAAAAAATAGTGATTTAAATTGTATTTTTTTCAGAATGGATTTTTTTCTAGTTTTGACTTTAAAATTGCACTAAGATGCACAGAACTTAAAATTTTCTATCACAAGTGTACAGTTCAGTAGTGTTGAGTACATTTACATCTTGTACAACTGTAATGTGGATATTCTGATAGAATTTCACTTTTTTGGTATTTAAGAAAAAATATAGAAGTCTCACATTTTGGTTTAACTATGAAATTAGGCAGGTTACTTCATTTTTATGTGTGTTTTCTATCTGCAGAAAATTTTCCTCTGTGTTACATGTAACCTTTATCATTTCTTTTCTCTCATATGTTAAAACAACTTCCTCTTATCCCCATTTATTCTATAGATAATTATAGAATGCTTGTTTTGTGCCAGCTTAATGGTAGCTGCTGAGCATGTATTTGTAAACAAGACCAACTTGGGCCTTGCCATTAGGATCTCGGTCAAAGTTAAGATAAGCTTTGCTTCCAGATGCCCAATAAAATGACATTTATTCGTACTAAATAAATATGTATCTCAGTTTCCGTAGGGTGATTTTGAGTTGGAGGATAATATAAATCTCCTTGGTTAGTAGCCAGCTTGTACTAATTATCAAGTTTAGTTCTTACTCTCATTGGTTACTTAGCTTGAGATGCAATTTTCTCTATCTTGCAAAGCAATGTGCCATAGTGGTTAAGAGTTCACATTCTGGGTCAGACTGCCTATGTTGAATCTTAGTCCATGGCCCCATCACCTATTAACTATATCAGTTTTGTTATCTGTAAAATGGATAATTACTATCTCATAGAAGCCCCAAGATGTGTATTATAAAGTTAATATGTATAAAATAAATAATATGAATAAGG